ACTATGCTATTAAAATTATTTACTAATTGTTTTTAAAGAAAACTTTTTATGAGATACAAAAGAAAAAGATAATATTGATGTTAAAATACATAACTTGAAACAATTGTTTATAATTATATAATTTATATTTATTGTGAATTATTATTAGTTGGTATTAGTAATATAATAACTATTATATAATATAGAAATATATATAATTACGCTCATTAAAATGTATTAATGTGAGAAGTAAAAAATATTAATGACAAATTTTTGTAACCGAAAATGTAGGAAAAATTTTAGAGGTTTTATTAAATGTTTTATTAAATGCTACATGCCAGCAATTATATATATATAGACTAGTGCATGGTACAAATATTATATAATGTATTGTATAAATTAGTCTTAATATTTAAATTGATTTTTTAGCTTGACCAGATAATTAATCCTCAAATTTTTTAGTTTAATTTTTATATGAACACTTCAAAAACCAGCTCAAATAATCAGCTCATTCGGGGCACTAATTGCGGCGTTTAAATTTCTAAAAAATAAAAACTTCTAATTGATATAACCAGCTGTATGTAGAAATGAATTGTCCAGCAAAAATATTTTGACGGAAAGTGATTTTTATTTTATTTTATTTATTTATTTATTTTTGAATTTGAAGAAATATATAATAATATATGTAATCCAACTGATGACCGAGATAAATAATAAAACCAAAATTAGAAAATAGATAAAATTATGTGAATTGATGGATGGTACTTTTCAATTTATAAAGTGATTAATTTTCGTCTTAAAATCAAATTTAATAGAAATTTGATGTGATAATAATAAGATGGGTGATGATATATATACCTTTTGAAAAAAAAAAAAAAACAATTGTAACTTCGTCAAAGTTGATGTGATAAAAGTAATAACAAGAAATGTAATGATAAAAGTATGTAAAATGAACTAATAGTGTATTTTTGTTATAAAATTATAATATAGTTATTAATTTTATCTACAAATTTTAAGTTAATATACAATTCATTTGAAAAAAAAAATTGACAATGAATTAATAAAAATGTATGTTGTAGGAAATATATAGATGTGATCAAAATTATTTAAAAAAAAAACATGTTTATAGAATTTATATATATTGTAACTGTAGCTTTTCTGTCACATTTATATTCTTCATAATGGTCCAAAATGCAAGTGGAACTGTCCCTTTATACATAACGTATGTAGACTTTCGAGTGTCATCACCCTCAAAAAGTTCACTAAATATGTAACAATAAAAGAAATGATATGTATTTCGAAATATTGGGGCAAAATAGTAATGAAGGTTCATGTAAATTGTGAAAACTAATAAAACAAACTTAGCCAAAACTAATAATACGTAAATTGCCAAGCCGAATGAACCGCGATTGGTTTTTCAATTTACCTGTTTTTAACCGGTTCAAACGGTTCATGATCAGTATTGAGTCACAGCGGTTCAATGCCTCAAATTGGGTCGGTGTTCTAGCTAGTTCCCCATCGAACCGGCCAAACCGGTCCAATCCAATTTTCCGAACCATGAGCATATGCCCAATTTTTTTTCCATTAGCGGTGATGGAATCGATTCCCAAAGTTAGTTTGTGCAAGGGACACGTTGAAGTCTAAGACTTATATTTTATGTGTTTATTTTATATGTTTTTATAGGGTAAATTGCGCCAAACCCCCATGTATTATATAAAATCTGCGTCTTATCCCCCTGTATTTTAAAAAATGCGTCATACCTCCTTATATTATACTTTTGATTGCGCGTTATCCCCTAAAAATGCGTCATACCCCCTTGTATTATACGAGGAGAGGGGAGCGTGCGCAATCAAAAGTATAATATAAGGGGGTATGACGCATTTTTTAAAATACAGGAGAATAAGACGCAGATTTCATATAATACAGAGGGGTTTGACGCAATTTACCCTATGTTTATAGTTTACACTAATATTGTGCACCTTTATCTTTGTCCTCTGCTCAAACGACTGTGTAAAATTGTATTTCCCTGAAAATTTATTAGTTACTTGGGTTAGCCTCTTGGACGTCCAAACCAAAACTTTGTCCAAAAGATCAATCAATTGGGCCGAACAGCTTAGAAATGAATGAAAAAGCTCAAGCATTTGTTTGGGTCATGTCAACTGAAGTTATTGGACTTGGCTATTGAAGAACTATTGGAACAATAGGTTTTATGTGTAAGAGAGTCGTGGTATATGTGTAAAAGAGCCCTTTTAAAAACGCACCTTAAGTATTGCAATTGGGCAATGCTATATGTACACCCCCTTTTAATAAATAACACAAAGAAAAGTGCTATATGTACACCCCTTTTTTACACTTGAGGGGGTGTACATATAGACACCCCCTTGCAATTTAGACATGCCCAGGGTCGGCCC